GGGGGGGGGGGGGGGGTGATCGAGCCGACCTGGAAATTGTAGACGCCAATAGTGAACTTGCCCGTTGAGGCAAAATGTTGTTGACGCGCAGCTCCAAATTCTTGAGGTGTGGTGGCCTCTGTGATGCGTTGACCCTCGTACTCAAAGATCAAGTCATACGGCTAGAGATCGACCGGTGGAAGGAAGGGAAAATGAGCTTTAATGGAGAAACAACCGCACCAGTGCGAACATCGGGCTTACCTGCAAGTTAGCAGCTTGGGCCAAAGATCCCGGGCCAGGATTTTCAGTAACGACAAAGCCGGCAGCACCGGGAGGAAGATGATTGGCCTCGAGTTCCTTGAGAAAGGCAATCATGGCATTCTTGTAGTCGGTAACGCCTGAAGCACCTTGAATCTGTCCAAGACATGACCATCAATCCATGAGTACGAGGCATCTGCTGCTGAATTGCTCATCTCGAGAAACACGGGCACAAGAAGAAGACCGACCTTGGTGGCTAAGCCTACGGCATTATCTTCCTTGCTGAGATGTGGGTCGTTTTGATGACTCTTCATGGCCGCCTGCATTTTAAACTACACGCAAGGATGGAAAGGGAGACGTGTGAAGAAAATGAAAGGGCACAAGCAAACTGCACACAACAACGGGCAATCAGCTGAGCTGCAACGTACGGCCATGCCGAGCATGTCACCCATGCTGGCCTTGGGTGCGCCGGCGCCGGCTGTAAAATTGTTGCCTTGTGGGATGGCCGGCAACGTCTTGCCAATCGCCGAGCCTGGGGGCTTGAGCGGGGCACCGCCTAATGTTGATTCACGCAAGACCAAAAGTGAGGGAAGGTCAGACGTTGAAAGATGAGCACAACCAAGAGAGCCAGAGAGACAACGGGTCGGCAGGGAATCCAAGTGCTGGACGATAAAGTAGAGGAGGAATCCACGCGTTTTGCAATTTACCTTGGTAGCCGCTCGACGACCCGGCGGTCTGTCACATTGTCAAGGAGCACAATGATTGGTTGTTTGCGGCATAAGGAAGCGTGAGGTGCAGTCTGGATGAACAGACCACGGTCCCATATTCCAGAACGAAGGACGTACCACAGCAACGGGGGCACTTGCAGCGGCTGTTGCTGGGGCGGCGGCAGCCGGCGCAGCACCACCCATGCCAGCGAGAGCGCCCAAAGCACCAAAGCCACCAGCTCCGGCACCGGCACCGGCACCGGCACCGCCTGCTGAAGGCAGACTAGCCATCATGCCAGCGAGGTTGCCCTAGTAACACACATGGGGTACACACACAGATGATGAAGAAGAATCAAGAAACTGGAACTCGGTCTCAAAGAAAAGAAAGAACTGGGACACACCATGGGGTTGCCACCGGCAGGAGCGGTGCCAGAGCAGAGAGGAGCAATGGCGTTAACCCAGCCATCACGGTCGGCTTGCGTGGTGGTAAACATGTAATATGCTCGCGGGCCCGTCCTGAAAGGTGCTACAATCTATGGATGCATTGATTGATGTCAACGATAATGACCCGACCATGCGATCCCCGATTGCAAAACCCGTGAGGCCCGTCCCCATTTGGAATTCCAGAGGGGAAGTCAGATTTGAGGAGAAAAAAAAAAAAAAAAAAAAAAAAAAAAAAAAAAAAAAAAAGGGGGGTGGTTGGATTGTACCTCAATACCATGCTCCCCAATGGGTTGCTTGAGGGCGACGCCCGGGGCCATGGCGGTGGATTTCAGGGATGCACCCGACTGCACAGGTGCGACCGTAGCGCTTTGGTTCAGCACAATACGCCCCTTCTCCGTGCCTTGAGGCTTGGAATAGTAGACAAGCTGATCACCTATCAAAGTTGACGTGGCCGTGAATGATGGGCTAGAGTCATCGCGCAAAGCGAACGAGGCCGATTGGCGTGGCGCACAACAGCCCTGACTGCACTGTCTTGGCGTGCATGTGCGCCAACTCAGCTCGGGCTGGGATGAGAAGACGAGGACAGAAAACCCTACCACGAAGAACAAAGTAGCGCTGCTGCCATTTGCCGCTGTTGAAGCCTAGGGTCGTGTCCAGACAGGAGCATGCAAAGAGTCGAGGTTATCAAGATCAGGCATCATGAAATCGCAGCCGAGGTCACTGATCCCGGTGCAAACTGAGCTCTGCTTTGATTTTCGTTGATGGCACATGGCCCGATTGGCAGGCGACAAGGGGCGGGGCGAACGCACCAAGTTTGACAAGGTAGCCTTCCCGCGTCGTCGGGGTAAGGACCGACATGGGGTCCCGAGCCATGGCTCGCATATCCTTCATCATACCAAACGCCATTGTACCGGTGCTCCAACGTTGATCCGCCCGCCCGAACGCGCCTCTTGCCGTCTCCGCCCGTCGCGTCGCGCCCCTGAAATGAGCTGGAACGCAGAACACGAACTCAGTGACATATCTGCCACATCGGCTTGAAAACAGGTTGACGAATGCAGTGAGCATTATATTGTCATGGGTAACTGACGAATCCAGTGAGCATATGATTTTCGTGTGTGCGAAAGGAGTGAGAGAGTGAACACGCTCACCGTCATTTCTCTCTCTCTCTCTTTTTTTTTTTTTTTTTTGTGCTCGACAGTGAGTTGTGTGGGCTGCAAATGGCAGCGCCCGGCGGGTGTTTCGGTCTGGCGAGCGGGATGATGGAGGGGAGAGGTGAAATTTTTGCTGGTTTTGATGGCCAGCTGTTTGATTTTGTTGATGATGAGTCTCTCATCATTCATTTGGCATGAAGAGAAACGCACGACGCCGCCACCGCGTTGCTCTCCCTCTGCTTCTCCTCTCACGCGCATCCCACGGCCATTGCTTAGGTTTGGGTGCACAGGACAGAGAACGCCACAATGTTCCGCAAGTGCGTTGGTATCCCCCCCCTCCCTTCCCATTCATCCTGAGACACCACACCACATGCCGCTGCAGGCTTATCTAGCCGTCTTCTTGATCCTCTTGTCTCCGTCATCTGCTACGATGCTCTGCAATCTCGCTCCGTCTCTCACTCCTGTTGGCCCGTCACGCCTCTGCTGACGTGTCCATATGCTCAGATTCAAGCAAGAGGACGACCTGGGCAGCGCGACGCAGCTCAAGTCGTCGGTTGGCCGCGCCATCCAGCGCAAGCTCGAGGATCAGATGCCCAACATCACCCCCTTGCTTCCCGTCCTCTTTCCCAAGAAGTCGCCCATCTACCAGCTCAAGACGTGCGTGCCCCATCCACCCGTGGTCATTGACCGTTGGCGCGCCCCAGACGCTTGCTCCGGTCCTTGTCAGTCCTGATACGCTTGCATTGCCCCACTCACGTGGATAGGCGCGACCGTTCTTCATTCGTGGCCTGCAACGGCCAAGTCCTCTTCTTTCAACACCGCGATGGTCCATTCTATCCTACCATCAAACTCCTTCACCAATGTCTGTTTGCTGTTCAGAAGCGTACACACATCCACGTTTGCCGCGGGTTTCGTCCCGTGCTTACCTGCCCTGTTATCCCACTCTTGCTCACGCTTGCACGTTTTGTGCAGACCCCAACCTGCTGCCCCGCTTCCAGGTGGACCGCGGTGCCATCAAGTTTGTCCTCTCTGGCGCTGACATCATGTGCCCTGGTTCGTGTCGTTTGAGCTTGATGGACGTCAATCACATGCGTCCCCAATGCCGCGGCCCAGTCCCGCAGACCCATGCTCTTGCTCACGCGGCAGGTCGTCACCTTAGGTCTGACCTCCCCCGGAGCCAAGATGGAGGCTGACGTTGATGTCGGCACCCCCGTCGTACGTCTTGCCCCGCTCTCCTCAGAGCTGCTTTGTTCCTCGCCTGGTTTTGCACCAGTTTCTCCACGTGCTTACATTCCCACTCGCCCCTAATCCGCTGACAGGCCATTTTTGCCGAGGGCAAGGAGCATGCCCTTGCTTTGGGTGAGACGGTCATGTCCACCGAGGACATTCGCAAGATCAACAAAGATGTTGGAGTCAAGAGCATCAGCTACCTGGACGACGGTCTTTGGCACTTGGACCCCCGCGGCCTCAACATCAACTGAGCGTCCTTATTTGTTGTCCTGCGAAAGGCAGCTCTGGTGAAGCTGTAAAAGCCTGACCTTCTCCCGTCTGATTTTTTTGCACCGTGTGATGCTTTCGCGCCTTCTTCGCTTTTTCCCCCCCTTGTGGCTCTTACGAGGACTGTGTGCACGCCTGGATCCACTCGCATGGCGTCGTTTCTTTGGGGACGATTCACAAGGGGTTGAGAGATTGCGCGCATCAACTCCATGCCCTACCCCTCCCTCTCGCTCTTGTCTTTGCGTTGCTCCGCGTGGATAGGGTACTCTCTGCCCTTTGAAAGGATTCCAGAAAGCCGCCCATCACACAAATCGCACACACAATCGAGCCATGGTGCATCGACACTTTCTCTCCTGTGCGCACACCTTCCTTCTCTGCTGCAACTGTTGCGGAAGATCTCAAAGTTATCGTAGCAGACAGACAAGGTCTCAAGCAAAACAAAGGTGTAAAAGCTCGAAAAGATGAAGAAGAAAATAAAGTTATTGCAGCCTCTGAAGCTCTTGCTTCAGGCTCATTTGACAACCAGCGCACCAGAACCATGACGACCTCCTGGCTGGTGGCAGTGGCGGGTGCCCTGATCCTGGCCTCGATGCCCGGAAGTCAGGCATATGATAACGGCCGAGGCCGATTGCCGCCCATGGGCTGGAACACGTAAGCTGCTGCCGCATCGGTTGTCTTGTTTGAGTCCACGCTGTACTGGGAAGCCAATCTCGCCGCTGCCTCGCCACGTGCCAGAGCCGGATGCACCCCGGTGCAGCCTCATTCCTGCCTTCTTGCCACACCACCTGTCAATGTGCACTGCCCAGCTGGTGCACCGACGATGCATGTGGGGCACTGGATATCTGTACGGAAAAAGAAATTATGAGCGTCGTGGATGGGATCATTGAGCAGGGCCTTGACAAGCTCGGCTACAAGTATATCAACATGTACGTGTCAGCTCCGACACGCTTCAGAGCTTGGTTTGGAGAAGGCGGGTAGCGCCAATTCGCGTGCTGATCCACCGGGCCCATCACTCGGCTGTGGGCTTTGTGTACTCGGTCATCCCCTAGGGACGATTGCTGGAGTGCCCAGACTCGCAACGCAACCGGCCATTTGCAACCCAATGCCAAGCAATTCCCCAACGGTCTCAAGTATCTCGCCGACTACATTCACAGCAAGGGCTTGTACTTTGGCCTGTACACCTGCGTTGGTACCCAGACGTGCCGCGGTGGCCGCCCTGGCTCCTACGGCAACTATGAAAAGGTATGCACTTGCCCCTGTGTTCGCCAGTCCCAGCGCCTTCGTCATTCTTGCTGCCACTATTCCTCAGGATGCCCAAACCGTCGCCGACTGGGGACTCGACTTTATCAAGTGCGTGCTAGAGATCGAGGCTGTTGGATTGCCAAACAAATGGCCGCTGTTTTCAATTCGTCTGACCTGCCTCACTTGACCTTGGCCCTGCCTCGCCTGTGCCCTTGTTCGCCTGCCAAGAGCGGACAACTGCCATCGCCCCAGCAATTTGACTGAACAAGAGGCCTATGGCAACTTTTCCGCTGCACTCAACGCTACTGGCCGCCCCATGCTCTTCTCCACCTGCGAGTGGGGAGATCAGGACGTTGCCAGCTGGGGCGGAAACGTTGCTCAAATGTGGCGCATCCAGGTGTGGTGATGACGCCGCTGCATCTTGGCGCCCGCGTGCTTGGCCTGGTGCTGCTCAAACGCGTCTAGCCCAAGCGTGCCCCAAGTGCCTCTGTCGACTGACCGCTGTACAACGCCATTTGATGCGACAGATGGATCACATTCCCTTTTGGCACTTCCCCCCGAAAGCTGCAGGCTACGGCTTTGGTCAAGGTGAGCGCCGGCAACGGCTTGGAACAAGCCAATCTGAACCAGGGATGGGACCAAGAGGACCTCCCGAGTTTGCCTGGTTGACAGTATTCTCGAGGATGGTGGTGCCTCCTCACATGATTATCCTGTAGGCACGGCGGACATTATCGAGTATATTGCCACCCTGAACCCGAGCAACTTGACTGGCCCGTACAACTGGATGGATCCCGACTTTTTGGAGACGCTGTTTCCCATCACCATGAACTTTGTGGACTCGCGCACCGAGTACAGCTTTTGGTCGCTGTGGAGCGCGCCCCTGCTGGTGGCCACCGATTTGCGCAACCTCAGTGACGAGAAGCGCGCCATTGTTGCCAACGAAGAAGTCATTGCCATTGACCAGGATGAGCTCGGTCAAGCCGGGGACCGCATCTTCAACCACTCGGACGGCAGTCAGGTTTGGCGCAAAAATTTGCAAAACGGGGATCTTGCCGTCATCTTCTACAATGCCCACAACTCGGCCAACGCGTCGCTGATCAATGTCACCTGGACCCAGGTATGTGCGGGGGCGCTGTTGCTGTGAACCGTGCTGTGTATTTTTGTGTGCTGCCGAGCTCGTGCGCGCCTTTTGACCAACAATGTCTGCGCAACGGGCTCACTTGGCCATGTCAAACACCCTGTAGTTGGGTCTGGATACGACGGACGAGCGGGACGTGCGGGATGTGTGGGCCAAGACCACGATTGCTGAACACATCAGCGGCTGGTATGGGGTGCGGGACCTGGCGCCCCACGATGTGCGCTTCTACCGCCTCAGCAAGTCTGCCGCCGCCGTGGACAACTAGGTACTCTGACTCCCCGGTGTGCCGCCGCAAGTCTCTTTCTTGGTTGCGACAAAGGGCAAAGGCACCCCGTGCTGAATTATATTCTTGATGTGCAAATCAACACATCCAGCAGCTGGAGGTGTTGAACAGGATTCTGGGTTTAGAGGGTGGGACAGCGCTTCAAAAGCAAGCTCAAAATTGGCAAATACGTGTTTTCATAAACATGGGCAGGCAGCATCAGAGCGGGGCCAGGCGCTCTGCTGCAAAGTCGGCCACGTGGACCGGGTGACCACAGCTCTGGATAAACCGTAGGAGCGCCTCGACCGACATCACCAAGGAGTGGTGATTGCCGGCGATGGGATGAAGAAGGACCTCCTGTTCAAGGCTAGAGGTGATGACACTGTCCAAGACGACGTGCACGGCGTGTCCAGGATCGTTGATGAGGCCAAGGGGGGTGACGGCCCCGCCTTTCAGTTGGAGCTGAGTCTCCAGCACGTCGCTGGCAGCCATGCGCATGTTCTTCAGTTTGAAGTGGCTCTAGAGTCGTGAGCTGTAGTTGAGCTGGGACGTAGCCCATGGTTTGCAGATAAAGACAACGATGGGACAGAGTCACGAATGGCAGCTGCGTACCTGAACGCAAGGCAAGCGAACGTTGGTGTCGGCGGCGGCAAAGATCAACACGAAGACGTCCTTCTTCTTTTCCTACAAGCGGGCACGCGACGCGGGCGTGAGCCACCCGAGTGTCCCAAGGCATGACTTGAGCTAAACTTGAGCCAAAAGAGAGATGCAATGACCTTGCAGAAGAGATTCTTGCAGATGAGCGCATGTGGGGCATGCTGCTGGCAGTGGGGCTGCCAAGCTTCAATGGTGCTGGCCTGTGCGCACGAGAAACCAGAGTTTGCGAGTGAGACTGCGCCAGAGGCTGGGCCAAGGTTTGCAGAGATGAAAGCAGGATGGGATGGATCCCACCGGAGGATGAGCAAAGTGGCGAAAGCGAATCTCGAGCTGATCAAGCCGCTGCACGTCAGCCCCCGCTTGCACCTCAGGAGGCAGATCAGATGTTGATGAGTCGTCGACAGCAGCGGCGTCCGAAGCGCCGTAGAGACAGTTTAACGCATGACGCTGATGCTTTTCCGTCTCAGGCGACCGCAGTCCAAACACGGTCAGATAAAAGGCGCTCATTCTCACTCACACAGCCCCTTCTCCCTCATCCATTCACACCCCGTC